CGAATCGTGATCAGATCTCTGGTGATTTCCGATTTGATTGAAGTTTTATATATATATACAGCCATATATGAATCAATGTGAGTTGAAGTGAAATCCGTTGTTCTTGCTCCGCTTTTCTTTCTTGGTATCGGAGCGCTGGTTTCTGAACTCTTTCTTCTCCTTTCTTTGTGCCTCACATCATGAGCTGCAGCAAAGTTGGATTGATCTTGCTTTAGGGAGTCACTGCCTTTGATGGGAGGAGAGGGTTCAACACTTGGTCCGAGAAAATGATGCGCGTGCTGCAGATGGAAGAACTCTGGGAAATCGTTTCACCACCAACAATCGCTGCAGATGCTCGTACGCGGCGAGCCCCTGCTACGTTGGGAGCTTCAACTTCAGTGGAAGGAGAAGGCGTGGATGAAGAGGCAATTCGTGCCTCTGTTGCAGCAGCTCGACAATAGCTTGATCCAGGGGAACAAGCTGTGCTGGAGAAGAAGGAATCTCGAGCAAAAGGATTGATTCTTTCTAAGCTTGCAGATGCCCTTATGATGCGTTTGCGTCATAAGTGTGCTTGTGAGATCTGGGCTCATCTCCACAACAAGTATGCTGTTCTTTCCCTCTCCAAGATTAGCATGGTCGAGACTTGCATTCGTGAGACCCGTTTTCATCCAGGCGAGAACTTTGAAGAGTTCCTCGCCAAGATGCAAGATCTGTGGATGGAGCTTGAAGGTAGTCCAGCAGTGTTCAACGAAAGCAAGAAAGTTCTGGCACTTTGCGAGGCCATGCAAGATTCTTCTTTTAGTTCTTTCGTCCCTACCGTTCGCATGATGTCGCTCAACTTTGAACAAGCTGAGCAAACTTTACGCTCGGAGCTGGCTGCGAGAGGTTTGATTGTGGACTTTGATCAAAGGCCTTCCCATGTTTTGATCTCACAGTCTACATCAAATGCTTCTGCATCAAGCAATCAGTCAGGGACTGATTCAGCTCTGTGGGCTGGAAATCATCGAGGCAGAGGAGGCCGCGGAAGAGGAGGACGAGGCAGAGGTCACGGGTTTAGGGGAAATCCGCAGCAGCAGCAGAATTCAGGGAATTCTGGTAAAGAAGCAGCAGTTCGGGATTGTTTTGTGGGCAAGAACAAACAGGAATGCTGGACCTGTGGGATGCCAGGGCACTACTCCAAGGATTGCCCAGTTGCAGCTTGGCTGCAGCGCATGAACATAGGGCTCGCAGCAAATGCTCAGGAAGGGGAAACACAGGAACTTGCGGCATCATCTGAGGTAGCAGTTCCAAACGTTTCTGAAAAACTGACCATTGATTCAGGTTCAGAGAGACACCTGATGCAAAGCGGGTCGAACTTTGTGCAGTTGCGTGCTGCAAAAGGGAAGTGCATTCGTGTGGGAGATGGAAGCATTTTACCTGTTCGCGCAACTGGGGATGTGCGAGTTCCACTGGGAAGAAAGTCTCTGCTCTTGAAGAATGCGTGGTATGTTCCAAAGATAGTGAAGAATCTGGTTTCTGTAGCCAGGCTTATGGATGAAGGTCTGGATGTGAATTTCTCCAAACATCAATGTCAAGTTCTTGCAAATGGCCGTCCATTACTGCATTTTCCCAGATGTGGTAACCTGTTTGAGAAGGAGATAGCTTCTGGAGAAAAATTGAATGCTCCTGAGATATGCATGACTGCAGATAGCTCTCTCTGGCATTCTCGACTTGCACATGCCAATCCCCCTCTCATCAGGCGTATGCAGAAGCAAGAGCTTGTGGATGGCTTCAACGACCACGTTCTTCAAAGTTCAGCAAAATGTCACACTTGCATTCTTGGCAAGCAAACCCGTCGTACTTTCAAACCTGCTGTGACCAGAAGCACTCGTCCCTTGCAGCTCATTCACTCAGATGTTTGTGGACCCATGCGACTGTTTGCTCAGAATGGCACGAAGTATTTTGTGACATTTACAGATGATTTCTCCAGGCACACGGACGTCTTCTTTCTTCGTCACAAAGATGAAGTCTTTAGCAAATTCAAGCAATTTGTAGTAGAAGCCGAAGTGAAAACTGGTCAGAGGGTTGGTTGTTTACGTACTGATTCAGGAGGGGAATACGTCAACAAGTCCTTTCAGCAGTTCTGTGCTGAACGAGGAATTCTTCATCAGCGTTCTTGCTCTCATACCCCTCAACAGAATGGAGTCTCTGAGCGCAAGAATAGGACAATCATGAACGCAGTTCGGTGCTTCCTTCAAGAATTAGGACTACCAAAATTCCTTTGGGCTGAAGCAGTTGGATCAGCTGTGCATGTTCAAAACCTTCTCCCTCATTCTCGCAATCCCAACAAGATCCCAGAAGAGCTTTGGACTGGTCAAAGACAATCGGTGGTGCATCTCAGGCGTTTTGGTTGTTTAAGCTTTGCAAAAAGGGTGGATGAGCATCTTGGCAAGTTGGAGAGCAGAAGCAAGCTGGCCTTTCTTGTTGGATACGATTCCAATTCAAAAGGATATCGCCTGTACCAGCCTGGTAATCATCAAATTTTTGTAAGCACTGATGTTCGTTTTGATGAAGGAACACTCTACAAAGATCATGTTCAAGAAGAAGGAAGCTTAGATCAGAACATGAACTGGACTCCAGAAGAATGGAGTTGGGATGGTGTTGAAGACGGTGATGAAGATGACGATGATCTGACAATCATCTATCCCTCATCTCCTTTAGCAGATGATCATCCAACACCAGTCTCTGGATCTTTTCTTCCTGAAGAACAGGGTGATGCTACTCATCGTGCACGAACTGGAGAAGTCGACAGGCTCACACGTGATCTACCATTCAATGTGGAGAACTATGGGCGGACATCATCTGGACGATCAAGCAGAGCACCTCATCCCAAGCAATGGTCTTTTGCAGCAACAGAAATAGCTTCTGAACCAGTCAACTTTGAGCAGGCGATTCAAGCTCCTGATGCAGATAAGTGGATTTCAGCAATGCAAGATGAGTTGAATTCTCTTGATGAGAACCAGACTTATGACTTGGTGGAAGCTCCTGAAGGACGTGAAGTTGTTGGATCACGCTGGGTGTTCAAGCTTCACAGAAATCCTGATGGATCGGTACAGCGTTACAAAGCAAGACTTGTTGCTCAAGGATATTCACAAGTTCCTGGAGTGGATTTTGATGAGATGTTCTCACCAATTGTGAAGCAGACAAGTATCAGAATGCTTCTGGCTTTTACAGCGGAGTTTGGTTTGTGCGCACATCACATGGACGTAAAAACAGCCTTCCTTAATGGGAACTTGAAGGAGGAGATATTTATGCGGCAACCCCCAGGCTTTGAGCTTTTTGGATCCGGTTGTTCCGAACTCGTCTGCAAGCTTTGCAAGGCTCTTTATGGCCTTAAGCAGGCTTCCCGTCAGTGGTATGAATGTTTGGATTCTTTTCTTATGGATCTCGGTATGCAGAGGTTGAACAGCGATGGAAATTTATATCTTCTTCAGCAGGGTGATCACTTTGTTGTGATAGCAGTTTATGTGGACGACTGTTTGATTGTCAGCAACAATCACACTGTTTTGAAGGATGTGAAGATCAAGCTTATGAACAGGTTTGTGATGAAGGACTTAGGAGCTGTGCGGCAGCTGTTAGGGATGGAAGTTGACAGGGATGAAGCAGACAGGACAATCACCCTCACACAGTGCCAATATGTGAAGAAGCTTCTCAACTAGTTCAATGACAAGTTGCAAATCCGTGGCTACACCAGTCGTCATTGGCATCAAGTTCACAAGCAAGATGGATGATTTATTTGATCAGCCCTTGGTCTACCGATCGCTTGTTGGAGGACTACTCTACCTCGCCAACATGACTCGCCCTGACATCTCCTTTGCTGTTGGTCTCCTCAGCCGATACATGCAGTCTCCGAGTTGTTATCATTGGCAGATGGCGAAGAGAGTTTTGAGGTATTTGAAAGGAACGGCTGCTCATGGATTGGTTTACAAATGCTCAGGTCAATCCAAACTTGTTCTTCAAGCTTACTGCGATGCAGATTGGGCTGGCAACTTGGATACACGACATTCAACCTCCGGAATTTGCTGCATAATTGCCGGTGCTCCGGTTTCATGGGGAAGCAAGAAGCAAACGACAGTTGCTCTTTCCAGTGCAGAAGCAGAATACGTAGCTGCCAGTACAGCAGCAAGGGAGATCATCTGGCTTCGTCGATTACTTGGAGAACTCAATCAACAGCAATCAGATGCGACCATTCTACATTGCGACAGCAGAAGTGCAATCGCCATGTCAAAGAATCCTGTGTTTCATGCTCGTACGAAACATATAGACGTGCAGCATCACTTCATTCGCGAACATGTAGCAGCCGGAGATCTTCACCTGGAATACGTTCCTTCACAGTATCAGTTGGCAGACCTTCTAACCAAGCCACTTTCGGAGCTCACATTCATCAAGCTGAGGAATCAACTTGGAGTGTCAAGCACACCCTCAGCTTGAAGGGGGAGTGTAGGAATAATGATGAACACGACAAGCAGTCCGAATCGTGATCAGATCTCTGGTGATTTCCGATTTGATTGAAGTTGTATATATATATACAGCCATATATGAATCAATGTGAGTTGAAGTGAAATCCGTTGTTCTTGCTCCGCTTTTCTTTCTGCCTTCAACTTGTTCTTCCAGGCCCAGTCCCTGTTCTTCTCGTTCCTCTAATCCCTGGTGCTCCAATCCCAGCCCTCGTTCGAAACAAGAGCAAGCTATATACAATGTCTTAACTCTTATAGCTTCGCGAACTCTTGCGGCGTTGCCGATGCCTCCAGTGGAGCGATTCTCTCGCACCCCTCGCTCTTCGGGAATCCATTAATTTCTTGGGAATTCACATTTCCCCAAGGTGTACCTTGGCAGTGGAAATTCAAGCTTTTGGAGGTAAAACTCAAGTCCCACAACCCTGTCGAGCTCCTCGTGGAGCTTGGCCATGACTCGAGGATTGTGCATCACTGCACTCGCTCACGGTGGTGGTGGTATCAGTATTAGTCTGGTAAGGAGAAGTTTTACAAAGTTGAATTCGCTTTAACGTAAGTCTCCCCTCCAATGAAATCGAGCATGATATCGAGGAAGTCCTTGCATTCACGGGGTGTTTTGCGCTCTCCATGGGGACTACTTACAGCTCCAGCAAAGTTATAGCTGAAGTTCTGGGGAAGAACCATGTACGGCCTGGAAGCAAAATTTAGATCATGTGTGGTGAAGACCTCTTTGGTAAGCTCCGGGCTGGAGATCAGGATCATTCCCAGCCTCAAGGAAATAATAGGACCATACTTGTTGGCTATGCGCTCTGTGCGGGCATTCCTGCTAGCAAGTGTAAGCCGTGGAGGTGGAAGATTTGAGCGAGCTTTCAAGAACCACAAGACCGAGAGAGAGTGATGAAAATTGCGGAGCTCACAGCAAGTGCTACATCCATTTCTGTGGTATTTATGTCAATCTTGCCCCACTAGAATCTGCCTGTTGCTTGCATTAACCACACAACATGAAAAGATGGTGGCAAATGCATCCCGACTCGAGCTGGCCATGCTTCTCCACAAATGCGGATGCCAGACGCATCCATCGGCATTGCGGCACGAGAAGTTCTTGTAGAAACTTACGATCGATGTGCAACCATCATCGACCCTTGGCGCCATTCGCGTTCCAAACCTTTTCTCGTGGACTACCATCCTCGCTGCGTATGCCCACAATGGGTGCATGCACAAATAAGTGCTCTTGTTTGGCGCCATACCACAGAATGTGATACCGCTATCTGGGGAAATGGAAGCATTAACATAGTGCATGCTGGAGTTTAGCATTCTTTCTTTCCTGGAACACAAAAGTCACGGGATTTCAGCATATGCCTTGAGTGGGCAGCTTGAATCGAGTTTACGGTGATTGTAGTCCGTTCCGGCATAGTTTCAAACTCACGGCTTGGCTCCTTAAGTTTGCTAGATTGGCAATACACTTGCAAGAGCAAAGTCCACGACACCACGTTAGTTTGAAGAACATTTCCGTTTCTTTGTAGAGCCCATTCTCGGCAAGAGAAATCAAACTCTTTGCTTACCTTCTTAGCACGATTGTTCCTCATTTGGATAACTGTTATATGGGTTCAGCTTCTAAGGAGTACGTTACATGGATACTGGCATTGTGCTATTTAAACACGTTGTTGCAAGAAGCCAAATCACCACTGGACACTATACTTCTCTCGCCCATCCTGAACAACGCTTCAGACTTACGCATATCTCAAGGCCTTCGCCATAGGCAGCAAGCCAGGAGTTACATACCATGAAGTTATGACGAATCATATCCGCATCACGTACTTCTTGCATAAGTCCGTCCTCGCATAATTTGGAAAGAATGACACGTTAGTTTCGGGCATCTCCGTGAAAAAATAATTCGGTTTGTTTGGAAAGCCCATTATCGGCAAAGAGTTTTTTGTGCAAAGATTTAAATCGCCCTGTTGAAGTTGATGTCCAGGATGTTAATACATCACGTACTTCACACGGCGCTTACACAATTGTCGCACCCTCTCGAGATTTTCAAAAATATTGCCTTTGCACAGCATGTGCCCGAGCCACTTGGTCTTTTGAAACGCCCTTGTGGAAGCGCCTTTGCGAGAATTCCAGCAAGAAATGTCATGGCCTACCTAGACTACAATCGCTATTTTTAAATCCGCCCACACATAAAACTTTGGCCATGGCTTGCAATGGGGTCTTGAGCTGCACAGTAGTGAGGAAAACCTCTTCCATGGACGGCGTTGTCCCAGGCACAAAGCTCCAATTGAAGCCATGGATGAGATTTGCCACGAGCAGCTCCACTGATCGCAATCCCATGCCCATTCCCGGACACTTTCTCCGCCCAGATCCAAACGGGAGGAGCTCAAAGTTTTGGCCTTTGACATCGATGGAGCTCCCCAAGAAGCGCTCCGGGTGGAATTGTGTGGGATTCTCCCATACTGCCGGATCCATTCCAATCGCCCATGCATTCACCAGGAGAGTGGTCCCTTTTGGAACGTGAAAACCGCCAACGGTTGCTGCTTGCCTTGAGATGCGCGGCATGAGTAAGGGTCCCGGAGGATAGCGTCTGAGTGATTCCTTGAGGACAATCTGGAGGTACTCGAGCTTTTGGAGGTCCGACTCTTGAGTGCTGCCCACAACTCTGTCGAGCTCCTCGTGGAGCTTGGCCATGACTCGAGGATTGTGCATCACTGCAACCATGAGCCACTCGCTCGCGGTGGTGGTGGTATCAGTACTGGCAATCAACATCTCCTGGGCATTTGTAGCATAAGAAATACCTGTTCAGCAATCAAGGAGAAGTTTTGCAAAGCTTACCATGAGATTCGCCTTTACGTCTCCCTGCTCCAAAGAAGTCGAGCATAATATCGAGGAAGTCCTTGCATTCCCGTGTCGTCTCCTTGTGCTCCTCAACAATCTTTTGCAAGAACTCGTCTTGCTTGGCATGGATTCGCTTGTAGCGAGGAATCTGCCAGTCCAGCCATCGCAAGTACCAGGGCACCAAGTTGCTAACACAGGGATTGATCCCCAGCTCAAGAACATTGTCGTTGAGCTTCTTGAATTCCATGGCATGGGCATCTACGTTTTCATCACCAAAGTACCTCTTGCTCATCAAAATTCGTGATGTGACGTTGAAGGAGAAAACACTGGCCACGTTTCTCACCTCCACAGGTTTGCCATCGCCATGGGCCTTCAAAATCCCCTCCAACGCACGAGAAAGCTCATCCCTTCTGACCCAAGAGAAGGAGTCGATACACTTGGCTGTGAAGAGCTCCATTGTACACAGCTTGCGGGTGTTTCGCCATAGCTCGCCATAGGGACTGGTTGCAATTCCAGAAAAGTTATAGCTGAAGTGGTCGCCTGGAAGCAAAATTTAAATCATGTGTGGTGAAGACCTCTTTGGCAAGCTCCTGGCTGGAGATCACCACAGTTGGGATCATTCCCAGCCTCAAGGAAGTAATAGGGCCATACTTCTTGGCTATGTGTTGCAATGCTCTGTGCGGGGGCATTCTTACTAGCAAGAGTAGGCAATCAGGGGCAATCCCCATGGACCTGGTGGCAGATTAGAGCGAGCTTTCAAGAAGCACAAGACCAACAGAGCAATGAAAATTGTGGAGCTCACAGCAAGTGCTAGATCCATTTCTGTGGTTCTTGTGTCAATATTTCCCTGACTTTTAAAGCCTTGTAAAGTACTTAGAAGCCTTGGAATGGTCAGTAGCTGTAGCTTTTTCCAGAAGACTAAAAAGTGACCAAAGTGTAAGTGTAAGTTTTGGTCAAATTTGTAGAATGACTTTGGATATATCTAGAATATGTATGTGTAAGGTTTGTAAATAGATATATATATATATATATATATATATATATATATATATGTATTACCTTGGCTAGGTAATGTATTTATAAATTATCCATTTGAAACTGAATTTGGTCCATCCATTTGCAAGGGTCTAAACCCTAATTATTTCTATATCCTAAACATTCACATTAATAGAGATGAAGGGCATTGCAATTTGTTTCTAAAGGGCAATGCTTTACTCTAATATTTGGGATCATGTTTTTGTTCTTATTTCTTCATTTTCTTTTTTTATATTAGCTTTTTTGCAAGATCTAGAATTTTAGTTATCACTATGCTCAAATCTACTTCTTCTTTCATTCTTTTCTTTTACATATCATGCCATTATTGATCAAAGAGTATGTCATTTGAGGTTACTAATGCTATTTTGTTAAATTGAAATTTTAGTGCTATATAGTGTGATCATATTAGTGTTACACCCATCCTTGGTGTGTTGCTAACAGTTTTCAACTTCCATAAAATTACATAGTTTGTTTTGTTCTTGGTGTTTTACCATTTCCCATTGATGTGGAGTGTGATTGTGATATTGATTGGTGAGTTATAGATGATGCAGTCTGGTTCTTGAAGAATATTTGAGGATCAAGTTTATATGTTTACAAGCTTAAATGGATTCTAGGTTATGATGAAGCACTTGATTATTATGGAGATAGCTTTAAAGATGAATTGGAGATTTTATAGGGTAGGTGTCAATCTTTTAATACCATTTGATCCTTTTTTTTTTACTTTCTGCTCTTTTTTAACCTTCTTTTATTTATCAGTTTGAGCCACCTTTTCATATTTTTACTGTTCCTTTTTTGTCTGGAATATTTCCTTTTCCTAACACATTGATCATTGATAACTTTTATAATTCTCATTCTCAATCCAATGTTGAGTTAAATGTTTTCTATCTTCCGCATACTAATCTGGATCTTGAGTGTATGCAGGAAGTTGAGAATCTTATTTTTGTTTCTTTGGCAGAGTCTTTGATCAATTTTGATATTGAATATTCCTATATTCCAAAGGTTTAGTCACTTTGGCTAGAATTTTAGGTTGTGTTCCCACTTGTTAATGCTCTTAAGAGCCTTTACTTTACTGTTACTACTAAGGAGTTTATATATTCCCTTGAGAGTGTGGATGTTATTATTGATTTTCTTGTCTTAAGTGGAATTATATGTTGAGGAGGTTTAGCAATATAAATCTTTTGCTTATATTGTGGTGGCCAAAGTATTTTATAATGAAAAGTCTTTTATTTTCCAAGCTTTGATCATATTTCCTTCTTTTAATTTCTTTATTTCTGCATTTCCCACTGTTATAAATTTTTTTCCAATGCTTCTTTATTCACTTTTTCTTCTTCTATAATGGTTTTTTCTCAATTTTTTCACTTTTTCCTTTTTGCCTCGACACTTTAAACTTTTTTTTTCTTTAGACAATATGGATTGTGGAGTGAAGATAAGTATAACAAGTTCGAATGGAACATTTAACCTTAACGTAATGAGGTTGAATAAATATGATAGTGGAGTGAGGCCAAATATAGATGGCAGAGTGAGGACAAGAGTAGCAAATCCAAATGAGGCTAGTGCTTTATAACTTTTTTTTCTTTTGAGGTGGGATAAAGAGGATATGGAAGACAAATGGAGTGAGTCAGACCTCCCATGTGCAATGTTAAACAAAGATGAAGATCATAAATCTAAGTTAACACAAGTCTTGAATTAATGTTCAAGTTCCGGGAAGATAACCACACCTAAGAAGATGCAAAGGTAAGTTTTACTTATGGTTATAAGTCCGAGTTAATAGTTATTTCAAAGGATTATTGGCGAACAAACGTGAAGGTAAGATGTATTATTTGTGTTAATGGCATTTTATGGACTACAATAGTTTTTGAAGTCCCTTGTTTTGGTTCAAAGTTATAGCTTCATAGTTGGTTTGAGCATTTGGCAATTGTATATAGAGTTGCAATTGGTACATTAGAATTTCATAGTTGATTAATATTTATGCTATGGCTTTGGGTTTTGTTTCAATTATAGTTATCAACAACTTTATTGGTGGTTTTGTGGGAGCTTCAAAATTTTGTGGTAGTTTTTAATTGCCCAACAGAAGCTCTAAATGTTCCATCTGACTTATTGTTATCTTCTAGAGGGGAAGATGGTGTAAGATTTATAAATACATATGTGTATATACATATATTACCTTAGCTAGATAATAAACTAATTATAGTAATATAGTATATGAATCATCTATTTGGGACTAAATTTGGTCTATCCATTATTTTTTATATAAACAGGGGTCTAAACCCCAATTAATATACCTATTCTCATATCCTGAGCAATCATACATGGATATTTTAGGATATTTTATTATCTACTGGTTATTATTTATTTAGATTAATTTATATTTATAATTTATAAATATATTTATATGAGTGCATTTGGCAAGTAGGGAGTGTGATGTTGTAGGT